AACTCCTTGTGATCGTATTTGATTCCTTTTTTTTTCTGCTCAGAATATATCCATCAACCTTTTGCAAGAAAGAATAGACTTGCAGTTGCAATCGAGCAGATCTACTGTATGCTACATAGTTTCTGATTTTGTGGGTCTAAATTTCATCTCACTGTCTAGTTTCTACAATTCTTCTAGACCTGCAGGTAAGCAATTCCATCAATTACGCTCTCTTTAAAGCATAAGATGAAAAAGCATATACTTTTTTGTGGCCAAAGAAATAAATATTTTTTAGATTTTATACTGTCATACTTTAGATTTTTATTGGTTGTTTTTGTAATTATCACTTGGAAGACTTTGATCTACTATAGATGGAATTTAACTAAAATATTTAATCAATGAAAATTTCATTCGAACGATGTAGTTTAAAGATACAGAAATTATGGGAGTATTTTTTAATTTGATATATTTTTTTAATAAATGTCTAGTTACTAAAATAAAATGTAAAAATAACTAGTTTTGTCCTTTTACCTATGATTCCATGTTTAAATTTATTTATATTTAATTCTAATGAAAAATAATACCTTTTAATGTGTGTTTTATAGAACATGCTATACTAAAAATTTTACCAATTAAGTCGTTTGAGATATCTTTCCATTCACTTTTCTTCTTGTCATTCTCATTTTCCTTTATAAAACAAATTGTTAGATTCCTCATTGTCCTATTGTTTGATTTTCCCTCAAATTAATTTTTAGTAGCTTAATTGATAATCTTGTGAGCTCGCCTTTCTTCTAGGCACTTCAAATAAATTAAAATAGAAGTGTATTCCCCCAGTGACAATATTTGAATCATGTTTTTTTATTCAGGAAATATCCGTCAGCCACACTATATCAGGAAGAATAGGCTTTCAACTGCAATCAAGACGATCCGTTGTGCCCAATCTGTATCTGCATCCAATTTCCTACAAACCATCTTTTAGACCTGCAGGTATACAGTTCTTTCTGTTGTATTCTTTTTGAAGTATAAAATGAAAGTAAAAATAGTTTTCGGCACACGATGCACAAAAAAATGTATGTACACATGGTTTAAGCATTGGAGTTATTAAAATATTATTTTTTATATATTAGATAATAAATTATGTAGTAAAAATTAATTTTTTTAAACTCTTTTACTTATCCCAAGAAATTTGAACTTGATGTTTAATTTAAAAAAATAAAACAACAATTATTTTGAAATTAGTAGAGTATTTATTAGCATAATGTTTTAATAAAAAAATATTTTTTTACTATAATTTTATGAGTAAGTTTTAATTTTAATTATTTATTTCATCATAAAATTCTGATTTGTTTAAATTTTTTCTTATCATTTTTTGTTATTTACTTTGACTTTTTTTAAATCCGAAAGACCAATATCAATAGGAGTACTTGTGTTTGTTATTGTTAAGTTTGTCTTCAATTAATTGTTATATTTTTAGTTTTAATCATAGGTGAATATTTCTTTTATTTTTTTAATTTTGTTATTATTTATTTATTTTAGTTAATTATTGTATCACAAAAAATTATCTTTTTATATGTTAATTTATTTAAGGATAACAGAGTTAAATGTAAGAGTCGATCTCAAATCTTTAATTAAAAAAATAAAAATAATATCAATTATTTTAGAATAGAAATAATAGTAAATCCAAACAAAAATATAATAGTAATTACCATAATAAGAAGGTTGAATCAACCTGATAAATAAGGAAGGACTAAACCAGAGAAACTATATTATAAACCATGCATCTACAAGAACGAGGAAATCTTTTAAAAATCCTACTTGATAACCGACAGTTTTGGCCACTGACTCCGATTCCGCCAATTGGATTGGTTAAATTGGTCTGTCCAAATCAGTTAATTTAATAAAAATTAATCTTCGTAATTATAAAATTATTTTTATTTTAATTAATTTATTTTAAAAATTGATTGAAATTATTTGTACATTCATGGGTCAAGGA